ATTTTATTCCAAAAGAAAGTTAAAATGTAAAATGCAAGTCTTAAAGGAGCTGCATTTGCTGGCCTGGAGGATTCTGGGAGTGGAAGTCCTGACGTCTTTTAAAAAAATGGGGTCTAGTTTGGAGAGGCCCTGATTTATGGGAAAGGAAAGGGGTCACCCTCCCTCTCCCCGAGGCAAAGGCCTAGCCTGGGACAACCCCTCCTCCCCCCCCATACCCAGCACGCCGAGCCGGTAGTTCAGGGTGACAACAATCACATTTCCATACGCAGCCAGCACACTGCCATCAAACATGTTTCCGGTGCCTTCCATGTACGATCCACCATGGATGAACAGCATGACGGGTTTTTTCCCACTGTCTCGGATATCTGTGGGGGGCAAGAAAAATCACCAGCATGAGGCAGAGGAACCCAAGAGAGAGAGCAAGTCCATCCTTTTACACCCCATATCCCCCAATCCTGACCAGGAGAGGCCTATAACCACAACGTCTGAAGGCCCTCAAGAAGCCGGAGGTGGCCATCTTGTCTTCTGGAGAACCACTTGGAGTTTTGGTTTTGGATCCAGAGAAGCATCCATCAACAAGGAGAAGGGTCCTCCAAGCAAAAGAACCTCAGGCCACAAGGTTGGTGGGGAGGCGGGATAGCCTTCTGACCAAGGCCATCTCCAACTACTCAACCCAACCAACCAAGCTGTGTTGACCAGCACTGAATGACAATGCGTTAAACCTAGCTTTGGGGAATGGAAACATCTGCAAGAGAGCAACCAAGGAAGCCTTCCACCCAACGAAGAAGCATGGAGGAGAAGCTGCAGTTTGAGGAGAACCCAAGGACCACCTGAGGAGGCCAGGGTGGTCTAGCAGGAGGAGAAGCTTGGCGTGAAGGGGTTGGCAGGAGGCTGAGGAAGGGCTGGAGCAGAACACACTTAGGGCGGGGGAGAGAAAGATGATGATGACGAGGACGAAGTGGACAGCCCAGGCAGTCAAGAAGATCCAGGGTTTCCCACCAGTAGGGGGTTTTTGCGGGGGAGCAACCCAAGGTGATGAAGAGGAAGAGGACCAGTGGGGGGAGGAAGGTGGGCAGCAAGAGAAGGGAGGGGATGATGAGATGGGCCACCTGGGCCAGGTGGGCATCGCAGGGCGGGTGTGTGTGAAAAGTTTTGAAAGGTCCACCAAACCGAGCTGCCAAACTTTTTGGAGATGATATTCTGGAGATGATGTTCTCCTGCTTTTAGCCCCGCTTTGCTTTGCAAAACTGGCTCCCGGGTGTCAAAAATATTCGGGCGGTGGGGGAACCTCTTTGCAAACTGCAAGTCCACCTCTATTTTTTGGGGGGGGGGGGGGGGGAAAAACCCAAACCAACCCCACCAGCAACCCAATGCCCCCCTCTCTCCCCCTCCCCTCCCCCCCACACCAAACCCCTGCTTCCTGTTTTTAGGTCACATCCCATTTCCATGGCAACCCAGAGCCTAATTAATGCAGCGCAAGGGGGGAGCGTTAATTAGGCGCACAAGGAGGTCTTAATTAGCAGTTTCCATTCAGCCCCTCCCTTTGTCTTTCCTGAGGGGAAGGAGTGGGAAGGGGGGGGGCGAGGAAAGGGCACCCCCGCTGCATCTGCATGAGGGCACTCTTGATGCACAGCTGTCTCAGGATAAGGTCTTTGTAAATTCCCTTCCTTCCTTCCTTCCTTCCTTCCTTCCTTCCTTCCTTCCTTCCTTCCTTCCTTCCTTCCTTCCTTCTTCCATCCCATCCTTTCACTTCCATCCTTTCCCTTGCTCCCTCCCCTTCATCCTTCCTTTCTTCCTTCCCCATCCCTTCTTCTTTCCTTCCTTCCTCCATCCCATCCTTTCTCTTCCATCCTTCCCTTGCTCCCTCCCACTTTCTCTCTCTCCCCCTTCATCCTTCCTTCCTTCCACCCTCCCTTCCATCCTCCATCCCATCCTTTCTCTTCCATTCTTCTTCCCTTGCTCCTTCCTTCTCCCTCCTTCCTTCCTCTCTCCCTTCTTTTCCTTCATTCTCCTTCATTCTTCCATCCCATCCTTTCTCTTCCATCCTTCCTCCCTCCCTTCTTTCTTCCTTCTTCCAATGGCTGTTTGCAGTTAAAATGGACTTTCTATTACTTTCTCCCTGCTGCTTAACGATTCCTGCCTTGAGTTGGGGGAGTGGGGTTAGACTAAAAGACAATGCTCCCTGTTCAATTAAGCATGTCAAGGGAACAGGGTTGTTTTCCTTTCACTCACGAGGCTTGAGGGGTGACCTTGGCAATGCCCATGGGGCAGGACCTCCCAAAATGGCTGACCTACCTCCCCGAACTCCTTAGCAAACCATATTCACAATGAGTGGCAGTGAGCGACGGTATTAATTGTACACAATGAATTGAATGCATTAATAGTTTCAATCAAATTCTATTGATGGGCTGGCCTTGCTTACCTCTCCTACCACCACAAGCAGATTACTACACCCACGTCTGAATATATCCTCACCCACTGTCTTCTATGTTCAAGTTCAAAGATCAATTCCCAGAATTCCTCGTGCACCAAACAACCTTATTGACTTGTAAGATGTATGGATTTCAACTCCCAGAATTCCCTGGCACGAATCCATTCCTTTTGAGATGTGTATTGTGGCACGCTTAACTCTCCTGCAATCCCTTCCTCTGCAATCTCTCTGCCCTAGGGCAGTGGTCACCAATCAGTGCCCCACGGCCCACTGGTGGTCTGCGAGAAAACTTTGGTGGGCAGCAGATAAATGTCACCCCCAAAGCAATTAATCCAGGCTGCACAGAAACACAAGGCTGCTAAACCCACATGGCCCGCAGGAACCCTCCCCACTCACTCCTTACCCAGCAAACTGGCCTGCTAAGTTGCTATTTTTCCTTTTTCCCTGACCATCAGCTGTTCTACTGTGTTGGGAGATTTAGATTAGCTTGGAAGCAGGAAACGGTTGGATTTCTTGCTTTCTAGCTAGTCTTTAGATCTTCGGCTCTGCTTTTAAGCACAGCCGAACCTCCCTTAGGACTGAAGGTGCTATTATTCAGTGCAGATTCACTGCAAGCAAATTTTATGTGACTGACTGAGCTAGCCAATGGCAGAGAGATAGATCTCTGAATGATTCTGTGAGCGACTCAATCTGCCTGCCTACTTTGCCTGATTTTAGGTAAAAGTTGCTCTTTTTTAATAAAAAAAATCAAATTTATATAAATATTTATAATATTTACATACAAGCCATGCCCAGCCCACATGACCACCAAGCCACACCCACAAATTAGGCCACATCCACAGAACCGGTTAGTGGTCCCTGGGATTTAAAATTATGAGTTTGGTGGTCCCTGAGGTCCAAAAGGTTGGCGACCCCTGGACTAGATGATCTCCAAGGTCCCTTCCAACTCAGTTATGCTCTTAAGGAATGGTTCTCACGCGTTCAAGTTGTATGGACTCTTTGTTTACTCCCAGCTAGGCGCTCCCCACGTGACAATAGGGTGTCTGAAACTTTTTGCTTCTCAGCCAGCGGACCCCCCACAAACATCTGGAAGGCGTTGCAGCTATTCAAGGTACTGCTAAGAGTCCAAGCAGGAGGGAAACAAAGGGAGAGCTAATCTTCAGAAGACTTGTAGGTGGGAAATGTGGCCTCCTGCCAGCCAGCACCGTAAAGCCACCAATGTGCCAGCACATTTCCAAAAGCCATGCCTTGGGGAAATCCCCAAGTCAATTCAAACTCTCTCCATATTCTTCTCCTTGTGGAAGCCGGGGAACTGATTTGGGGAGCTGAAACATCTCGAGAACTTAGGGAAGGAAGTTCACACTTGTAGAGAGGGCAGCTCATCGCTGGTTCCAATTGTCTTCTCATTCTGTTGGATCATTAATGGGGGGGGGTGTTCCTTCAGTTGCCACCATGTGACAATAGACCAGTGGTCTTCAAACTTGACAAGCTTGAAGACATGTGGACCTCTAAGAATTCCTCCCCCAGTCGTGTCAGTTCAGGAATTCTGGGACAGTTGGAAGTCCACCAGCCTTAAACTTGCCAAGTTGGAAGACCCTTGAGATAGATGATAAGATAGATTAGATAGATAGATACTATAAATGATTGATATAGATGATAGTGTTAGATCGGGTAGATCGGTTCCCACAGAGACGCGAGACCAACAGTAACGTTCAGCTCTTTATTTAGTTAAAGTTCAGTACGAAAGCTTGGAGCCGCGGCAACCCTTCATATACGGATTGCTCGCGGCTCAGCGGCCAATGACAGCGCTTTGAATCTCCCGCGATCGGCTCGACCAATCGCGGTAGATTCAAAGTGCACCAATCACGGCTGTTCAGTCAGCCAATCCGGTCGCGGTCCACGTGGACCAATCAGGTGTTAGGGTTTGGAGTATGCTAATATCGTACACCCCTCCCCTCTTGGTTTCGTCTGACGGAGCATAGTCACGTAGTCGCTCAGGTAGGCGGGGCTTCGTGCCTGCCTAGTTGACCTGCGCGGTTCAGTTTCAGCATTATCCTCGACTGGTTCGGATGAACTCTTTGTCGCTCCGGTTCCTTGGGATGGAAATGCCTGGAAGGGTGAGCCGGGCCTTCTTTGGTAGCTCCCTCCAGGTCTACTCGGGCTGGTCGAGCTGCCGCTTCTGTCGTTCCTGCCTGGTTTTTCCGGGCTGGTTGAACTGGCTTGGCTGCTCCTTCCAGGTGAAGCTTCCAGTGGTTCGTGGTCTATTGGTCCGACATCTACCGGTGAGTAAGGGTGGTTTATATGGGGTTGGTTTATTCTGGGTGGGTGGGTGGGGGGTGTTCTGCTTGCGCTTTAGGATTTCCTTCTCTTCTTTGCTCATGGTTTAAGGTTCCCCCCCCCTCTGATTTCTTGGTCGGTTGTTTGTGTGCTGTCAGCGGCTAGTCTTGACCTTAGCTGGTCGATGTGCCGCTTCCAGCTTCGTCCGTCGGTGGTTTGCAGTCGGTAGGACCGGGGGCCCGTTATCTGGGTAATTTGTGCTGGTACCCAGAGTGGGTCCCCTGTGAAGTTTTTCGCGTAGACGGTGTCTCCGATGTTGAATGTTCTGTATTTGCTGGATGAGTCTGGGGGTTTCTTGGGGTTGTAAGTGGGGTGCATTCTGTCTAATGGGGATCTTAGTTTCCTGCCCATTAGTAACTCTGCTGGGCTTTTGTTTGTGGTTGAGCTGGGTGTGATGAGTTGGATCAAAAGCATTTTATTTATTTTTTCTTGTATGTTACCGGTTTCAATTTTTTGTATGGTATTTTTTGTGTATTGAACCATGTGTTCCACCCGCCCATTTGCTGCCGGATGAGCGGGCGCGGTTAATGCATGGCGTATCCCTTGTTCTGCCAGGAAACTTTCGAAGGCTAGTGCGGTGAACTGTGGACCGTTATC